CCACATCATTCAACTAATTAAAGAACCAAGTGGTGCAAAAAAAAAAAATTAGAAAAACGAGAAATTATTTGAGCCAGTTTCTCCAAAGTAAAGCAGTTTTGGTTTCTAATTAATGTTTTTTTAAAATAAAAAAAAAATCGTATACGTGATCTATGTATGGACTACTATTATTTCACCATTCATTATAATTTTATGTTCTAAAATATATAATGCATTTTTTTATTTGTCTTCTACATATTTTTAGTCTTTTAAATTTAAGATAAATTTATTTTTATTTTTTTAAATTTAAATTTGATTATTTTAATATTTGTAATTTTAAAAAAATATTTTAGTCTTTATATTTAAATATTAGTAAATAATCTATCAAATACTGTTATATAAAATTTATTTATCTATTAATATTTTGATAGTGAAAGTATTACATTAAATTTAACTAATATTATATAATTATTTCGATCTCTCAATTTCACATACATTATTATTAATTTGAGATATAAATTAAAAATAATAATTATAAATTTAAAGAATCAAAATTAAATTTATCGGGAAAAGTATATTTAAATTTTGTTGTTTTAAAGATAATTTTTAAATTATTTCATTAAATGCAAATGGACCTAACCTTGTTATCTTCGATGAATAATATAGCATGTATATATGTTATTGTATTTTGTCAATTTTGTTGCCTTTTAGACACTTTAATATAATCTAAATTTACCCGCATGTACTTTACATGGTCTATAAACATCAATTGAACGTCATCAATCATTAAAAAAAAAAAAAAAAAGTCAGATAAGTTGGTCAAGAAGTGAAAATATCAAATTGGCAACTCAAACTTTTCAAGTGGGTTCAAAGTGGTGTGCAACACTGCACCAACAAATTAAAATTGTAAAGGTTTAATTATATTTTTTAAAATACGTACAACTTCCCTTTTTATTAATAAATTAAAATTGTAAAGGTTTAATTATATTTTTATTCCTCCTTAAGTATATTTTTTTTCAAATTTAAAGTTTGTGTATTTAATCACTGTAATTTAAAAAAAAAATATTTTAATCTTTCTATATATTTTTTTTATTCTCAAATTTAAATTTGTGTTTTTATCTCCAAAATGTAAAAAATTATTATTTTAATTTCTTTGTTCAATTGTTGTTATTAAATTTATCAAATAAAACTTGTTTATTACTGAACTTGTCAAATAAATTATGTTATTACTATTATTTACTATTATTATTAGTGAAAATATCACATTAAACTAATTGATATTACTGTATAACATTCTCAACCTATCGGTGTCACTACTAGTATATGACCCTGAAAAATTAAAATAATATTTTTACAAATATATAGAAACTAAAAATATAAATTTTAAATTTGAGGAATCAAAATAATATTTTTTTTTATAATTTGGAGGCTAAAAATACAAATTTTCTATTTGGGAGAAAAAATACCCTAAATATAAAGAATAAAAAGATAATTGAGGAAGCATGTATAAAACTATGCAGAAAAAACTTGATGTTTTTAATTTGTATGCTTGAAATTTGAAAGGAAGTAGTTGATGGGCAGCTAATAATCAGAGAACAATGCATGACTTCAATTGCAGAGAATGAAGGTATGTTGAGCCATAAAAATCAACCTTAGGACACCATAACTATGGCCCCAAACGTTGTTGCTGGCGTCAACTTTAAGCCAGGTTATGAATTGGTGTCTTGTTAATTGTCATCAATTAATGTTAGCTAGGATATTCAGATCGGGTGGCTAAAATTAAAAGACTAAAACTATATCCTGTAAATACTTTTGCCATACAAAATTTAATAAATAAACTGCAATTGGAATTTTGGATGGAAATTTTATATCAAAAGATTAAAAGACTAAAACTAAAACATTCTCCATATAACTTCAAGCGTGTAATTCAGCGGTAAGGGTTAATTTACGCTTAAGTAAGGTCAGGAATTCGAATCCTGCCTACTGTATGCAGCTGCGTTAAATCTTGAAGCCAACTATTTCACCTTTTGAGGTCTCTCGAGATCCCTCGAGATTAGTCACTGCTCTAGGGACGAACAAAAAAAAAACATTCTCAATATTCTCTTTCATTTTCTATCTCTCTTAATTTTCATTTCTATGAATAATTTTTTTAATTATAATATTAATACAAAATATTCACTATTAAAAATATTGACTAATTTCTACTAAAAAATATAAGTAACATAAGATAGATATTTCTATTTTACTATAATTTATTCCATATTTAAAATTAAAATTAAAATTCTAAACATTTTGATTAAGAAATTAATGTTTGATTTATGTGAATAATAAAAGTCATCAATACTACTTAACAAATAGACAAATTATTCCTCGTGCAACTCAAGCTAAACATAAATAATACTAATTAAATATTCACCCAAAAAATAATACCAATTAAATTACCTGGGCCCGCATCTCTTGCGGAATCTATGGGCTATGAGTGAGTAATACATTTATTAATCTAAAAAAAATGTTACAGCTCCTCGTAATCAGTGTTTTAAAACTCGGACCGACCCGGCCGGTCGGACCTATGAGTGAGTAATACATTTATTAATCTAAAAAAAATGTTACAGCTCCTCGTAATCAGTGTTTTAAAACTCGGACCGACCCGGCCGGTCGGACCTATGAGTGAGTAATACATTTATTAATCTAAAAAAAATGTTACAGCTCCTCGTAATCAGTGTTTTAAAACTCGGACCGACCCGGCCGGTCGGACCTATGAGTGAGTAATACATTTATTAATCTAAAAAAAATGTTACAGCTCCTCGTAATCAGTGTTTTAAAACTCGGACCGACCCGGCCGGTCGGACCTATGAGTGAGTAATACATTTATTAATCTAAAAAAAATGTTACAGCTCCTCGTAATCAGTGTTTTAAAACTCGGACCGACCCGGCCGGTCGGACC